CACCAGAGCAGAGATTCCCTGGCATCTTGTGGTGAAGACCATGGTGAGGCAGGCTGTGTCCCTGCAGCTCGTGGAGGACCCCACGCCAGAGTAGGGGGATGCCCGAAGGAGGTTGTGACCCCATGGGAAGCCCACGCTGGAGCAGGGTCCTGGCAGAACCTGTGGCTCTGTGGAGAGAGGAGCCCATGCTGGGGCAGGTTTTTTGGCAGGACTGGTGACCCCACGGGGGACCCATGCTGGAGCAGTTCATGAAGAGCTGCAGGCCATGGGAAGGACTCATGTTGGAGGACTCTTTGGAGAACAGTGTCCCATGGGAGGGACCCTGTGCTGGAGCAGGGGAAGAGTGTGAGGAGTCGTCCCCCTGAGGAGGAAGGAGCGGCAGAGACAAGGGGTAATAAACTGACCACGAACCCCATTCCCTGTCCCTTTGCACCACTGGTGGGGGTGAGGTAGAGAAATCGGGAGTAAAGTTAAGTCTGGGAAGAAGGGAGGGGAGGGGGGAAGGTGTTTTAAAATTTAGCTTTATTACTTATTATCTTACTCTGATTTGACTGGTGGTGAATTAATGTCCCTGAGCTGAGGGTGTTTTGCCTGTGATGGTAATTGGTGAGTGGTCTCTCTGTCCCTATCTGGACCCATGAGCCTTTTGTTGTGTTCTCTCTCCCCTGTCCAGCTGAGGAGAGGGAGTGATAGAGTGGCTTTGGTGGGCACCTGGCATCCAGCCAGGGTCAACCCACTGAAACAGTAAAAAAAAAAAAAAAAAAAAAAAAAAAAAATCTTAATCAAAGATCCTTTTCTCAAATAGAATGAGATTCTGGAAAATTGTATAATCTTCAAATGATGTCACTGACTTACAAAACCTTGAACTACATTCAGCTTTCCTTCACAACACCCTAGTAAGCGTTATACAACACACAAAAACTACTACATGAAAATTAATAATTAGATTATAATTTGCAAAAATAGAAGCAGAAACACTTCTGCATAGTCTTATAATATAGACTTCTGCATTTTGGTGTTATAAGTTAGATTGCTAGTTCCCAAGTCATAGAACTCAAACCAAATAAAATTAAGCAGTAACAACAAATTCTTGCACGTGACATTGCCATTTTGTTTGTTTCGTATTCAAATTAGCTCAATGGGAACATGTAATTGGGAAAAATGTTGAGAAGAAAAGTAGATTTACTATAACTTCAGTTGGTACATCCCCAGAGGTTTTACATTTCATGTTACTTTTAGTTTTACATTACTAAAATACTAAGAAAAAATCCTAAGGGAGAGCTTTGCTTCTGCTATTTATAAATATATGCTGTTTACAGCTATTACTTGAAAAAAACACTAAGACAAAATACTGCGCTTGGTATTTTGTGGCATTATACCTGAAGAAAAATAAAGCAACAAAGGACTAGCATGTAAGGGGAAGACATGGATCCAGAAATTAGTATAGTTCCATTTAAAATAAAGGAATTATTTTGACTATGCTAGCTGATGATCTGTCCATTAACATGTTGCTTCAAGGAGCATCAGAACTACACTATGTATTAATATGAATAATTTTTGTTCAATATGCTGGAAAAACACAGGAAACTACCTATATGTCAGATAACAAAACTGCGCTAGCAGGCAGAAGAGAAATACATATAGTGAAAATATGCAGTGGGACAAATCAACAAAATATTTTGTTATCCAAGCTTAAACTCATGATTAAATATTGTTTATGAATTTTGATACAAAAAGGCATCTGTTAGTATTTACAGAGATGGACCATTTCACCTAAAAAGAGGTTAAAAAATAGTAAAATCCTTCTGGCTAAGTACAGGACTTGCCAAACCTGCAGTAGAACCACGGTTTCTGGTTTATAAATACTCACTGAACTTTGCAACATAAAATAGAGCCAGTTCACAGCCAAGCGATAGCGCGAGGCTGCCAGCCAACATCTCAGGTCCATCAGTGACCTCACTACGTAAGTCAGGCTTCCCTCTGCCAAAACTTAAATAAAGAAGGTGACACAAGGCAAAATGGGGATGTCCTAGAACAGTACTTTAGGCACCCAACTTGATAAAACCGACCAACTGTAAGATGTACTGAAAAAGCTTTTGAAAATCTCACATTGCTGATCCAGAGTAACAGGTCTGTTTCTGGAAGCACTGAGAAGTTGAGAACTCCAGTATGATTCACACGCACTGTTGGCCGCTCAGCACCTTTGAAAAATCAGCTAATTTATTTAAGACTCTAAATATGGACCTGCAAAACTACTTTCGGATTCCCGTTTATCACCCTTCAAGCTTTTGATTTCTGCTTATGAAGTATATTCTGTACTTTCTTGGACAACTCCCTTAAAAATTAAGATCAGCTTTAATGCCAGGATGACACAATTTTCCAAGCAAATTTACTTTTGTTTGTTTGTTTAAGACATTGTGAGAAGATCGATTAATTCATTTCCATCTAAATCCATTATACATACATGGAGGGGTTTTTTAACTGTAACCATTAAAAACAAAGTGGGAAAATAAAACAGGGTCATAAATCAAATTAAATTCTAATCTGGTCAAATCTCTGATGCTAATCAGAGGTGTTTTCCATATGCAGAGGTACCAGAGACCCATGTTGCTATACAGGCTTTCAAGTTCAGTATCTTAGTCATACTTCCAGACTTGTAAGCTAATTGAATTTTTTCTTTTAGAATGATTTTCTATTGAAGAGTGTCAGTGAATCAATAAATTTGTAACAAGTTCTCCTGAATCCTGATTTTCAAAAAATGTCCAAAGCCATGCTGAGGTGTTTTATGGGAAGGAATAGTTTCAACATTATTAAAATAAAGTACTTCATATTAAGGTGAAATTTTAGACAAAGCATTTCACTTTTTGAAAAGCAAAGTTGTTGAAAATTTTATTTCTAGACAACTTAAGCATATACAACAGATATCTGGCCACAGGCAATGCTTGCTACAGAAGTGACCGTCCTTTACTGACCCATGAATAGATTGCTGAACACAGCACTACATGCTGTTAAAACACTCTGTATTAACTATGAAGTGTACATTGCCTATCTTCAGTTCAAATCACATCCTGTAAATACAATTTGGGAAACTGATAAATAACTTCACACATCCCTGTTTGGATCAACAGACAGTACATCATCAAAGAAGAGAGTTTCCATTTTCATCGTACTCAGAAAGTGGAAAGGAAAAGTTCATCCAACTCACTACTGCAAAGTAAAACTTCTGGAAAAATTTGTCCTAGGACAGCTTTACTCGGCTCTTAAGACTCCAATCTTGCACAGTCTTTGTCATACTAATAGTTCATAACCCATATAAATAATTTTACTGTCACCAGTGAGACCAGAGAAAGAATTCTTCATCCAGGCACAGTTGTGCAGAATCCAGCCCTAACTTTTTAAGGCATGTTCCCCCTCTGTTCAGTCACTCTTCTCAATGCTACAGATTCTAAGTACACTTTTCTTGATTAGTGTGGAAAGGGTTCTTTTACCCAAACAATTCCACTGTGAGTTTATAGCATGCCATGTGAGATTTTAAAATTAACATATTTCTCATCAGCCATAAAAACTCAACCTGCAAAAGTGTTTATAAATACAGCATATGTCACACTCATTCATCTCTGTAGAACAGTTTTCATCTTTATATGGGCAAGATGTAAATAGGCACTAAACAAGAAAAAAAAAAAAACAACCAAAAAAAAAAAAAAACAAAAAAACAAAAAAAAACCTACCCCAGCAATACTTTTACACAATTTCTGAGATAAATTAAACCCAGTTGGCTTTGCTTCAAACATTAGAGTGAAGAAAGTATTTCTAGGAGTCTCTTCACTACAATATAATTCTAGCAGTGATGCAATGACAGAAGTAACTGTGTCACTAGACCAGCAGGGCTATGAGAAACTATGTAACCAAAAATTGCTTCATAAACACTGAAACTTCTAACATCCTAGTGCTCAGCATTTTTAATCTATCATTAAAACCTGTAAAATACTAAATGCAGAGGCAATAAAATTCATAGGCATATAAAGCTTTACCGTTCTCAGGACATTGTACCAACATTAAATTTCATAAGTCCCTACATAGTAGCAGGGAAGTAACACTGGGGTTTTGTGTGCAGAAATTGAACTATACAGGTAATAAGACCATGATCCAACAACACTCACACATCCTTAAATTTTTGGCATGTAAGTAAATTGCACTATGTGTGCTCAACACTAAGCACAAGTTGAAAGGCTTGTTGGCTCATAAATTAGCCCAAGAACTCTAAACTGTATGAGTCATAGCCTCAGGTTTAGACCTTGAAAGTGCATGCTTCCTTTTGCTGTTTTGGGTTCATTCAACAGCCTGTATGGTAAAACATGGTTGATGGCATCATCTGCAAAATGTCCTTAATAGTAGCACTTGTTTCTTTATGCATCCCCTTAAAAAAATTTTACAATTACAATTTCATATAAATCATTCTCAGTTCTTGACCCTCTTCACTACCTAGATGATAGAGGATTTTCCTGTCCACCTCAGTAGCCAGGCATCTCTCTGAGGAGCTGGACTGGGCCAGTTCTGCTCTCAGTGCCCAGGTGTGCAAGTCAAGGCAGGAACGGCCAGGAAAGAGAGCGCGGTTCCCGGGAACAGCCAGGAAAGTGAGTGCTGTTCCCACCTGCTCTCAGGCCCAGCATTTGAGAAAGCTGCAGAAAGTTTAAATTACAGGGGAGTCAACACTCTTAGAAACACAAAGAGACCACTTTGGGGTGCTCTACAAGTAAAACCCCAAACCTACACTATCTGGTAGCGTCTGTTCTTCAGCTAAAATACAAATTGGAGACTCCTGACAGATTACCACTAAAAACTTACAACAAAGAAACTACAACCAGTCAAGCTCTTGTTTAGCATCCCCCACGACACTGTTCCCAAGCTGGCACATTCTTTGTGCTTCTCCCATTCCGCAGAAACCTCCTTGCAGGGTGAACGCGGGAGACATGCAGAAGATATTAGCCAACAAAACCTACCTGCACAGAACTCCCCCTTGGGATTTAAGTTGCCACTACGGGATCCGGGGAGCCTGCCGCTGCTCTGTTCTTGCAGGCTAGCAGCTTGGTGGCGAGCCTGGGCGTCATCGGGCAGGTCTCTTCTTTTGGGGAGGTTAGGCTTAGCCTTCACATCGTGCCCGCATCTGACCGAGACGTCATAGCCTGCACAGGAGTGCCGTATACCTGCATATAAAACATTCCCCTTGCAGGCAGGAATTGGCTGGTTTCTCATTATGAGGTCCTCAGAAGTACCTTTATATATATATATATATGTGTAATCATATATATATATATTTCATAAATGCAAGCCGCAGTTGGGTCTAGAGCTATGAATTTATTCTTATCAGCTGTTCCCTAGGCCACCCCCCGCCGCCTCAGCCGTAGTCAGGCGAGGCCCGGGACGAGCCGCCCCAGCAGCCGCCCCCGAACGGGCAGCGCTTCAGCCGAGCGAGGAGCGGCGGCGGCCCGGCGGGGCCAGCGACCGGCAGCCCGGGGCCAGCGACCGGCAGCCCGGGGCCAGCGACCGGCAGCCCGGGGCCAGCGACAGCGGGGATATGTAAAGCCGGGCAGCCTAACGTAAGAGGGCGGGCGGGGAAGCGGCCGGAGGGGCTGCGCGGGGCGTTCCCCGGCACCGGAGGAGAGCGGGCGGGTGCGGGGGGTGGGCTGGAGGCGGGGGGGGGGTGTTCAGCCCGGGGTGGGCGCGGGCGGGGAGGGCCGGGGCCGCCCGCCACCCGCTCTGCGGGGCGGGGTCTGCGGGACCGCAGCTCCCCGGCTCTGCACCGGTGCCGCCAGCCCGGCCGGCCGAGGCGGAGGGCGGCGGGGGCTCGGCAGACGCCTTGGATGGCTTGTTGGGGGCCGGGACCCGGGCCTGGGGGTCAGAGCTCTGCCGGCCGGTGCTGCACCCCCGCCAGCACCCCCGTAGCACCTCCCGTAGCACCCCCCGCCAGCACCCCCGCCAGCACCCCCCGCCAGCACCCCCTCCAGCACCCCCCGCCAGCACCCCCCGCCAGCACCCCCCCGCCAGCACCCCCTCCAGCACCCCCCGCCAGCACCCCCTCCAGCACCCCCCGCCAGCACCCCCTCCAGCACCCCCCGCCAGCACCCCCCGCCAGCACCCTCTCCAGCACCCCCTCCAGCACCCCCGCCAGCACCCCCCGCCAGCACCCCCAGCCAGCACCCCCGCCAGCACCCCCCGCCAGCACCCCCCCGCCAGCACCCCCTCCAGCACCCCCCGCCAGCACCCCCTCCAGCACCCCCCGCCAGCACCCCCCGCCAGCACCCTCTCCAGCACCCCCGCCAGCACCCCCCGCCAGCACCCCCTCCAGCACCCCCCGCCAGCACCCCCCGCCAGCACCCTCTCCAGCACCCTCTCCAGCACCCCCCGCCAGCACCCCCTCCAGCACCCCCGCCAGCACCCCCGCCAGCACCCCCCGCCAGCACCCTCTCCAGCACCCTCTCCAGCACTCCCCGCCAGCACCCCGGCTTGCTCCCGGCGCCGCAGATGCCGCCTGTGTCCGGCCGAAATGCGACGTCCCGTGAAAATGCGCCCGGTAAAGCCCAGCCCCTAAAACCGGCGGTGCTGCTGCCCTAATCGGCGGTGTCACCCCAAAGGAGCTGTATTTTCCCCTCTAATGGAAGGGTAGGTTTGGCTTAGCAGCTGTCCACTTCGATGCTGCGCTTGGCATCGATTTTTTTTGGCTTTTTGTTTTCAAAAAGAAGACGAAATATCAAGCAAAACAGCCAAGCGCTATGATTATTCCCGAGCTGACATGAACCAAATGCAGTGTCAGTAAAAAAAAAGGTGCTAAGGTCCCCTCCTTCCAGATGCACTGTGCAGCAAGTTTATAAAGCATAGCCCGTGTCTCCTGTTTTTCACATAAATGATAACAGTCCCAAATTCTTCAGTGCAAGTGGGAGCAATTTCAGGCCATTATATTGCAAACCTGCTGCTAAACTGCCTCAAATCTTAATAGTTCAAGACGAAAAGGTAGGAATTTGCTAAAAGTTCATCAGAACCATATGTCTAGTCTAATTTAATTTCTCTGCACAGCCAGTATTGGATGTTTCACAGACAAAGATGCAAGAAGTCCAAGAGCAGGCAGATGTTGAGTAATTTTCTCTCATTAGAACCCCAGTGTGTGTTGGCGTAAATCATGCAGTACGTTGCTTTACCCCTGCTGCAGTACCCCCTGCCTTAACTGTTATTACCAGGTACTTTTGTGAACTCCAATTAAACGTGCAGCCTCTGTCTAAACCTTACTGAACCCTTGACTTCATGGGTGCATTATGTCAGCAAGTTCCGTATTGCCTGACACACTGTTTGCCTTTTTTATTTTGGAAATTTTCAGTTTGACACTACCTTGTTACCGGTATGTGCAACAGTCCTATTCTAGCTTCTGAACAACATTTCCTTGTTTTATACTTTTATCACATACTCTATGAATTTTCTGAAGCAAACTGTTCAAAACTTTTCAATCATTCCTCTGAGAATTGCTCCTGCTTCCATTGCAGCTCTCAAGCCCTGAATTCCCGAACACTCTTCTTTGGACTGAGGTGGCCCATGGTCAGCATTGTGGAAAAGGCAATGGCACAAAGCTGTCCCTGATTTCTCCAGAATTATTTTTCATTCTCTTCCACATGTTTCCTAACTTCTCAGTCAATTTTCTGTCATATTGCAGATTGAACAGAGATGTTACCACACCGTTTAAGGTAATGCTCAATTCCCTTTTTTGAGATTATCAAAGAGTTAATTTAGAATCCCATAACATGTATTTATAAAGGATTTTTTCTTCAAGACAGTAATTTGTCATTAGTATTATGTCATTAGTCATAGTATTTGCCATTTTAATGACTATTCACTTAGTAGGGTGGAAGATTTCTCAGCTTCATCCGTGTCTTCTCTCAACTGACTGGTTTAAATAACTCACTTGCAAATGCTGCTGCTGGATTGTTGGAGGCTTTCCAATTCATCCACACTAGAGGCCTTCATATGAAATCTGTTTTTCATCTCTACTTGATAAAACTAATAATTTATTTCTTCTTTCTCTCCCTATCTCTTAGGTGGCTTTTGAGTCATGTTAATACTTGATCTGATGCCAAGAATATCTAGTTGTGGGCTACCTTTAGACTTACAAATGTCTAAATAATTGACATAACTGTTTTTTTTTAATGTACTACATATTGAATTCTGCCAAATAAATGAATTCTTAGAAACTGAATACTACTAAATTGGTGATACATTTTCTTCTGTGTAGTCATACATAGCAATCTACAGATATTCTAGGTACTCAGAGTTTTTAATTATGCTTACATGGATGCATAGTGTGCTGTATAACCTTACTGTGTACTCCTACAGGATCAAGACCCTTATGCTTTCGGTGAACAATCTGAATAATATGGTGAATAAAGACATAAATCAATGGACCATTTGCATGTTGGAAAATGCTGAGTACTTTCTGTTCCTGATCAATGTGTCTAATAGAGCTTAAAAAATTTTATATATTGTATTGCTAACTTGGATGAGTTGAAAATCTTAATCCTAAGGGCCAGTTTTGGAAGGTCAATTCTAAACAATGGTAAATTAATTTATTTTGAGTGCGGTGATTTTAAGGGCATCTTTCTTGCTCTTTTTGAGCAAGCTTCTGAATTTTGCTTGAGTTGAAGTTGCTTAGTACATCTGAAAATTAGGACATTGTAATTTGACATCAAAATTACCATCTTTTAAAAAACTAGTGTAAAAACCTGGTTTTACTTTTAAAATTAGGGGACTGATACCTCTTTACATATAAAAAATCTGTGAAGGTCATGGAGGTTACCAACAGTTGCAGGAGCCTGAAAATATACTGAGCCTGATGTAATGGTTCTGTTCTTGTTGGGCATTGTTTTGGGTTTTGTTGTGATCAGTGTGAGTTAACCTTCCCCATGACTACTTATTACTGTAAAACCCATTTTAAATAATATAAATAAGTGTATTTAAACACCAAGTGTGGCCAAGTAAAATGTAAGTCTGAGTTTTGAGATGTATGAAATCAAATGTGATTATATACATCAAACATGAGCTTGATTTATAATCTAAAGCACTAGTATCCCAAAACATTTGGAAAACTTGGATCCAAAGGCAGATCATGGTCTCAGCTTTGCAGATGGGGCCAGTTCTTAGTTCAGAGAATATTTTCTTCATGTATGATCTACTTTGGATCACATGACAATTTTATATTTAGGTCTGAAAAATTAAACAATTTAATGGCTGCATTTACAGACATTTTCCTGACTTCCATTTCACCAACTTAATTGAGAAACTGTGCATTGCTCCAGCTTAGCCTAAAGTTTGGCCCACACTTGTTCAAAACAATTACAAATATTAGAATGGATTAGTTGAACTTAGTTGAGTTGAAAATGTTGTGAAACTGCAGAAGAGGCAGGATCTACATGGTGTTACATTTCATTGTCAGTATATTGGTTTATATATCCAAAGATAGTGATCCCAAGAAGCTCAGGATATTCACAACTTATATAGTAGTAAAAAAAAAAAAAAAAAAAAAAAAAAGAAACAGCAAATCTAATGTTTAAGTTTCTTCCTTAGAATCACAGAAACAACAAACATGCAACGAAGTTGTAAGAGAAAATGTGATGAGAAACACTCCAGTTCCTCCAAAAACAAGCTCTGAGTATTTCCACTTCATTTGTTTTTCATGTTTCCACTGGTTTGATGTGAATTATGCTTTGGTGCTTTTCACAATGTGAAGAGTTGTAATTAATTTTTCCTCACAGTGTAGCTTTTCCTCTTTTCTCAGTAATGCTTTCAAACACCTATTTTTTGTTTGAAAATGCAACAACTATCCATCACCATGTTTCGCTCTCTGATTCTCAACATCCCCTTCCACTCCAGTAGAAGAATGCTTTATTTCTAGAAGTCTGATTTTTGTCAGTTAAATTGAATAGTCAGAAAAAAAAATTTCTAAAGGACAGAGTCCTTCTCCCTGACCAGTGATATGGTAGGTGTAGAGAAAGGAAGCAGAGCAAAGCATGCACAGCCTGCACTGCTGTCCTGCTCTGCGTGCTGCCGTTGGTCTAACGTGGAACCTGCAGCCTACTGTGCGTCGGTGACAGGAGTCCCCCCAGAATCAGTGGGTTCATATGCTCACAAAGAACACACGGTTCTTAATCTGTTCTATGCATGCAGTTGCTGCTACCTAGGGACACCTTTGAAATAAAATGTATGAGGAATGGTTGCCTCAGCCATGTGATGGCTGAGCATGCTGCGATCAGCCTGCAGAAACCACCAGCCCTGACAGCAACAGAAAGTCTGCGGTGAAACCAGCTCCACTGGTGGACAATCAACAGTTACAGATGTTTGAAATTAATCCCTGTGACTCCCTCTGACAGATTTTGTATAATCCTCTGGGATCATTAGATGTCCCTAACTACAACTGCTGGAGAAGGAGAGAGGGTTCTGGGGAAGCATCACATCAGCTCATCCTGTTTTCAGCTCCAGCATCCATTGCTGGCCACTGCCAAAGACAGGATACTGTGGTCCAACCC